TAATAATAATAATAATAATAATAATAATAATAATAATAATAATAATAATAATAATAATAATGATTTGTGTTAGGTTTTAACCAAATAATATAAAATTTAAGTTTAAAAACAAAATTTATTCCCAAAAGCAAGGCAGTTCTATCGGAGGCCCATTAAGCTCCTTTTTCTCTGAAGTAGTGATGTGCTATATTGAACAAAAAATGTTTGCTCAGATTAATACAGTTCTTTATATCAAGTACGTGGACAATATATTTATTATTATAGAAGAGCAGAAAATTCCTATAATTTTAGAACTCTTTAATACATTTGATAAATCTATCTAATTTGAATTAGAAAAAGAAGGACATAATTGGATTAACTTCATTGTTGCAATTTTTAGACATAATATTAATTAGAAACCAATTGCCATTCAAAACCTACTTTTCAGTGATAATATTGGAAATTTTATCTGGTCATCCAATCTGGATGAAAAGTGGAGTTATCTATAATTTAATCAATACAAGTATTAAATTATCACAACATCAGTTCCATACTGAAAATCTTTATAAAGTTAAACAAATCTTTATGGACAACCATTATCCACTGAAATTCATACTTAAATATAATAACAAACGAGTCAATAAAATTTTAAGAGTTCCGCCCAACAAGGTGGCCAACCTTTCAAAATCCTCCCAATGTAATTATTTCATCTGTAAAAACACTGACGTACTGTTACAACAACAGTTAAAATCAAAATACTATATGAACATTAAAAGTACAATGATAAACAAACAGAATCTTACAAGAAATGTTTATATAATAAATAGTTTATGCAGTTTAATGTAAAGATTGTCAGTTGAATTATATTGGCCAAACAAAGAGAAGATTTAAATAGAGAATAACAGAATATAGAAAAAATAACAAATAGGCAAAATTCAATATCCCAACATAGAATTTATCTAAACCATTCAATCAATTTTGATCACTTTTGTATTTTCGCAGTAGAACCCATAAGAAATAAAAGATTAATGCTAGAAACATGAAATATAAAAACTCAAAATACCACGAATACAATTATAGAAACCAATCAGTTTACAAAAATTTATGACAACAAACTAAATACTTTACGACAATATCACTCCCATTTTTTTAACATTAGGATCAAACCTTTCAAAATTGCACCTTCAACTATCTCATAAGTTCCGTTATTCCTATTACTATACAACAACTCAATTTTAACATTCAACTGTAATGTTACTAGATTGCATTCCACCACTTATTTTAAAATTCATATATGATTATGTATAATTTGTAGATATTGGATTTATTTTCGTATATATTAGTTGTAGTTTTCTAGTTATAACAAAGTGAGCTTTCATTGAATTGGGTACAGTATAAATTTATTTGTTATTTATATAATTTTCTAAAAATCATTCTTGCTTCCTGAAATATTTTTATAATTAAATTTTCAGTTGAACCTGATGAGGGAGACCGTACAGCCTCCAAAACATTGTAAGAATAATACACAAATGAATAAAATTATTATGTAAACGTTTTTGGCAGTTTTTCATTGTGGTTGTTCATAATTTAAAATAAGGTACTAAACAACAATTAAACAGTTTTATTTTCTTCCCTTAGAGCATTTAAGTTTGAGGTATATTATGATTCAATCCAATATATTTATAAACATTAAATTAAAGATTAAATGAAAAAGAGACTCAGGATTATGAAATTCAAAAAGACATGCACAGCTATGTATCCACCCGCGTACGCATGCGCTTATCTGACTCCTAATACACGTTTGAAATTGTATACATGCGAATCAACGAAAATACGAGTATTATTGTAATCAGACATGCACATCTAATAGGACATTTGTAGACAGCCCCCCCTGCACCTGGGGTGACTACTGCTAACTTTATTGGTGCTATTTATTTTTATTATTATTTTTATTATTTTTTATTATTATTTTTATTATTGTTTTTTTATTTTTTTATTATTGTTTTTTTATTTTTTTATTATTTTTTATTATTTTTATTATTATTTTTATTATTATTTTTGTTATTTATTCATTTTTAAGATCACAGTACAAAATGATACTTACAGCTAACTTCTCTTTGAGTAGACTAGCAATACTATTGATACTGGTAATGGAATTGCCAGGGGAATGATCTGGCACATCTAAATACTCAATATCATTTACTTTAATGACTGGAGCAGATTTTGGCATAACAGATTTTCTTCGTGCATTTCGCAGAGGAACTCTGAAACACACAAAGAATTTGCACATTATTAAATATATTAGATGTATTTTTGCATCATTAAATGTATTTCTGAGAAAATTGAAACTGAATTCTAATAAAAGTAAACCATATGATCTCTGATTTCAAGGATTTGCCCTATCTTGTGTGTTCCTTGCTTTCAAATCAAATGGTTCTAGCGTATTTTAGTGAATTGTGAACAGAGGCGGGATTTTATATATATCTACATCTATGTATCTACATCTATGTATCTACATCTATGTATCTACATCTATGTATCTACATCTATGTATCTACATCTTCGCGGAACTTCGAAATTATATTATAATATATTTAGGTTTTTTTTTATTATTATTATGAGAGAAAATATTTCCCAAAAAGAATTTGAGTAACTGGGAGTGTGCGTGAGTGCGAGTGCAGTGAGTACGTGAGTGCAGTCAATCCCGGTTAGATCACTTCGGACGTCTCGGCCTCCCGGTGGCGAACTGACAATTTGTTTTCGGATCCGGCCAGGAAATTCTAAGAATTTCCAAGAACGTGTTTTTACGAGTTTTTACGAGTTTTAGCGCTGCCATTCAGTGAGTATGCCGGGAATTAAACTAACGCCACCCAAATAGGTCATGTAGGTTACGTTGACTGCGACAAGAGAATCGCCGATCGCCGAGCATATTTCATTTACTTTGCATCCGTGTAATGCATCTTTTAAAACACATTTTCAAAAACCTACGAACAGTATTTGCCTTGGAACTTATTAAACTTTTAGAACTCCAGGAAAAAACGAAGAAAACCATACTGAGAATAATGCTACAAAAGCACATTTACGTTCTTAAGCTTGTATATACCGATTTGCAAATGAATGTAACAACTTATTCTTATTCAAATGTAAAAACACCTTATTCGCATAAAGTACAAAAACGGGCCCCTTTTAATGGTTGTATAGATAAAACGGCCAATATAGTAATTGCAGAAGAAGTGAACACAATTAGACTAACTTGTGCAGTTTTAATCTCTTCTAAAATTAGGAACAAAAATAAGAAAGTGTTAAGCAAATCCGGGGAAGAATAAAATGAAGTTGTAGATGTTGCAATAGAATTTTCGGATCTAATTGAGAATGATATTAGAGAAGCTGGAGATCAGCTTACAAATGATTTTCATGAGCATTTTTCTGTATATTAGTAACGAAACGTAAAAAAAAGCTGTTCTAAATTCTAACCACGATACGGCGTTTATAATAAATTGCAATATTACTAGTTCATATTCCTTATGAAGGTAACATGCAAGGCCATTCGTAATTGGAAATTTTTGAACAAGAGTAAAACATTATTAGTATGTCCAGTGCTAGAGACTAAGAACTTAATTAAACAAAGCTATGGATGACATACATTCCTAGCACATGAAAATACTTTTAAAACAGTTTACAGCGTCGGCGACGCGTCATTCAATTAGTCCCTGCATAGTATTTGAGTGACTGCGAGTGCGCGTGGCATTCGGCGCCTCGCTCTCCCGGTGGGGAGCTCAACATTTATTTTGGGGCCCGGCCACAAGGTCCTAAGAATTTACCAAAACGTATTACATTTGGAGAACTTTAGATTTAGACTTTAAATTTATTTAGTCAAAAAAACTGTATGTGACGTATGAGGGAGAAGATCATCTGCGTAAGTTTTCTTCCCAGAATCCCTTCCTATCATTTTAACTATCAAAAGCTAAAAATGAATAAAAGTTAAAAAGAAAAATAATTAAAGAAGCGCGAGATTAGCAACACTTGAAAAACTAGACATTTTCGTTTCCGAATTACAGTAAACGTATTTGCAACGGTAAACAACAGCAGATTTGATTTTTCTGCACTGCAAACAAAATAGTTACTCGCTCTTACTTCTACTCTTACCACTACAAGCAAAAGGGGAGGTCAACAAAACGTGCGCATAGTGAAGCTGCAATTATGTCGAGAAGCAAAACAAAGGTCCCTCTCAGCATTTGCTCAATGGATCAGGGAAATTGTACAAAAACCTGATCGAGATGGGGGGTCATTGACCCCGAAGCTGAAGTACATTATTTGTTACAAGCATTTTTTAAAAATATTTTTTATTTGTTTCGTATATTCACGCAACGTGTCTTCTAGCTCCTAGGAGCGTTGACCGCATCGTGGAGTAATCCTCCATTATTATGCACCCAGCACCATCTAGGGGCCGCTGGAAGTCAAGTCACGTCAGTCCCAGTCAAGTTTTATTAAAGTCGCATATTAAGTATCTTTAAAAAATATACATTATAAATCAGTTTTGTTAAAATAAACATAATATTTCTTTTTGTTGATAAGCCTAGTCTCTAATTGTATAGAAACAGCCTTACGTTAGAAATATTGATTGTATCTCCTTGACGAAATTCGATTGTATTCAGTTGAAAATGGTTTCGAAATATCTATTGTACATCTTCCTATTGTAACGTCACCAGCTGCAGCCACTTTTCCCTAGGCGCGCTGACGGGGCCGTCTGAAAGGAACAGGGTGGCGGAGAGCGACCTCCCTCCCCTGCGAAGCGCAAGAGTCGGCCGAGCGCCACCTTCACCCCTCAGGGAGGCTGTTGGCGATCACGTGACCGCCAAAAACAAGCGAGCAGAGATGCAGGAGGCAGAACGGACGCGCTGCTCGCCCGGAAGCGGGTGGGTATTAACCTTGCTAGATGCACTAGCCAGAGGACGGGGAGCAGTGTGTGTGGGAGTCACGGAGGCAGATTGCGAACGTAACCCCAGAGCTGTACATAGTGTAAATCTTGTAAAGAAACAGATTTGTAAATAGAGCTCGTGCCTGTGTTGTCATTTCGCTACCACGACCACACTACGCTCAAAAGTATCTTACTTTGCATTTGCAGGTCTCCAACAAAACGACCTATAGATTATGCCACATACTTAAAAAAAACTAGAGGTGACTCCAAACAAAGTGAACAATCGCTCATTTCAATCCCAGAAACCATTCTTGACTGCGAAGATTTTAACATTGACGTTTTGGTCGAATCTTGCGAAAAAGAGCAGCCTTAATTTAATTAATTCCTTTACATTAAATTTTATAATAAATTACCTGCACGGTCCAGATTTAATTCAAAGAAGGCAACTGATCAAATAATAATTAACAAAATCACTACCAGATAGCTACAAAAGAGGATAATTAGGATATAGGGAATGCGAAACTGAAATATACCAAAGGTTTCCAGACATAAATTTAGTGAGACAATAACTTATTTTAGAACATTGGTACCCGGAGATGACACTACATGAGTACTAATACACATTTACAAATAGGATTATGGTATCCGTGTTTGTCATGATGAAAATAAGACGCAAATATTACAACACGAATTTCAGAACTCTTACATGTTGGAGACTGTTCGAGACTGTCCGAGACGGTAAATATTGGACGTCGGATATTTGTAATAAAAAGCCATGGTTTGGAACGTGTAAGACATTTATATATTACACATTTTTATTATATATGAAGTAATAAGAAAGAAATGTACGATCAATGATGTCACGTTTTAACACTGGTGTAGGCATCAGGACAGAATAAGTTACTGTCTGCAATCGGGTAAGGCCAATCATAAAATTGATTATGGAATGTTAACAGATAGGTGAAACCGGAGTTGGCATGTTTTAGCAGAACTGTAAACTTCAGAAGCTTTTCGTATAGTGAAGGTCACGCTCGTAGACGAGATTCAGATGAGGAGAGCAATATTTCAAAATTTATATATATATATGAATATATATGAATATATATGAATATATATGAATATATATGAATATATATGAATATATATGAATATATATATATATATATATATATATATATATATATATTTGAATTAGGGTTATTGTTTGGAAACAGGACGTTTAAATAACGTGGATAAAATAATCAGGTCGAAGTAGAAATGTCCAACTGAGGCATTCGCCGATACAGTCTCGTGTAAATAGTTTGTTTTTATATTTTTAGATTTAGGAGATTAATTTTTTTAAATTATTTCATTATATTATTACTTGTTTTGTAAATAGTATAACGCGTAATTGATAATTGAATTGGAAGGCCTAGAGTTTAAATTGCAAGAGCAAGAGACAACGACCAAAATTACTGGTGGTCTTCCAACATTCTTCGTTGGAAACTTTCTGGACGTCATCGCAACCTCCATCATCGCAACAAATTGTATGTAAGCAGTTAAATTTTCTAAATATTGACAAAGAAATATTAATTTTGCATTTTAAAGGTCGTAATAAATGTAAAAAAATATTATTTCGATTAAAATGGCAGACCCAAAAGAAAGTAATTGAATAAACTAAATTACGTAAATTCAATTCAATTTCAGTACAAAATTCAAAGTTAAAGTGACTGAATGCTTCAGTTGTGAATATTTTATTGAGAAAATGCTGATTTATTTAATGATTAGATTCCGCAGACAAATCATTTTTCTAGACAGATTAATTTTTCAGACAATATTCAGTCTGTGCTCGGTAGGTAGTCGACTCACGTAAGTATTGTTCAACAACGTAATTAAGAAATCGGGCATTTATAGGAATTATTACTCTCTCCCTCTCAGTCCCCCTCCCTCTCCTTCCTCTTCCCTCGCCCTGCCCCGAGAGAGTTTGGGGTTAGGGGTCGGGTGATAGAATTGTTTTTGAGGATTGGGGATTTTCAAATTACAGCACTATGTAGGCTTCAATAAATTTATTTTGATTGGCGTATCTTAATATTGTGTGGAGGAAGTCAACCTGATGACGACGACGATGATATTATTATTATTATTATTATTATTATTATTATTATTATTATTAATAATAATAAATTAAGATGATAGCTTACTTCACTATCCCTGATTCTCCGTCCGAAAGGCCAGAGGCTTCATCGTCTTCGTCCCCTTCCCCCTCCACGTCCGTGAAGGAGCCGTCACTCAAGTCACCTCCGTTTTGAGAAGAATCAGGAGTGAGCTGGAACAAAAAACATAGTGTGAGATAAAAGGTAATTGCTTCTATTTAAATAAAAAGACCTAGAGTTGGAAGAGTTTTTAAGAAATAAACTAAGGTGCTACAAGCACGTACTTCCGCGCATTAATAACTAACACGGAATATAATAATATTGCAATTTCTTTCCATATTGACACATCTCGATCAGCAATCACTTCTAAAACACATTGCCAATCGTAGCACAAGGGATGCGAAAGCTATTCTTTTGAAGGTAATACATCAATACAAATTCAACAATCCTACTTCACATATCCTTACCAATAAAGTAAAATATAAAAGGCACATTTCAAACAATTCTCGTATTTGCAATCCACTATATATGGTAGTACAACAGAAGGTGCTGTTGGAGCCAGAGTAGCATATACTTTCTGGTCATATTGGTAACGATTACGTAATATTATAATTTGGGGACTTGGGAGCATTAGGAGCTCGTTGTTTGGCAGGTGCAGAATGAAATTCAGCGAAACGCTACTCGTTACTAAGGCCACCGCCACCCCGTCCCCCCCCTTACGCCATGACCACAATTACAACTAGGCTGCTGCTACTGCTGTTGATAATGATGGTAATAATAATAATAATAATAATAATAATAATAATAATAATTTTGATAAATAAATAGAGATATTGTCAGGTATCAATATTTGAATTCCACTAATGATCATTTCGATCGCGTAGCGATCATCCTCAGAGCTTGCAGCTTCTGGGCCGAAAACAAAGTTCTGCAGAACTTCGAAGATAAATTCTGCAGAACTTTGTTTTCGGCCCAGAAGCTGCAAGCTCTGAGGATGATCGCTACGCGATCGAAATGATCATTAGTGGAATTCAAATATTGATACCTGACAATATCTCTATTTATTTATCAAAATAAAAAAGGTATCTACTTCACCAACAATCCAATTAATAATAATAATAATAATGTTTTAATTGGTATCTTACTGTTCAGCTATCTCTTGAAAGTTACTAACCAAAAGAATATTATGCACAAGAATACAAGTTTTTATTTCTTACTTTATTGTTACAACGAACAGGCAGTATTTTTCGTGTCATACAAAGATTATAATAAAAGATCGACGAACTTTTGAAGAACATGTTCCATTAAGAAATAATCTTTATCATCAATATTATAGTTTTACAGTATTATTTTTTGCAACTTGTGAAAATACAGAGTCCTCCCAAAAAATTGTTGTTGTTTTAAATTGAGAGGATTAGATGAATTAACTTTCTAAAATTGGCATGTTATTGTACGTTGCTGAATTTTACTTTCTTGCTACCGCGGTAGAGGGAAAATTACGTAACGCAGCGCAAAAACCCGGCGATTGTTTTATTAAACCATCCGTCTGTCATTAACTATAGTAATCATACTTCTATGTTGTTTCAGGAATATGCTTTTCCCCCATATAACGCTACATTAAAACTACAAAATACATATTACATACATAACTGAAATAGCGGATTTATAAGTAGTCTTAAATATTGAAGCAATAGGTTACATATGAAAAAATTAAATTTCTGCCATTAAATTCAAAATATACGTATAGTCGCTATATTTACGTACATGAAATGAAGACCAGCAATGCTGACATACGCGTATTTCAGGTGTAGATCATAAACACGAAGATAAATTCGAGGCGGCTGCCCAAGGCGGTGGCGGTGGCGGTCAAAGTTAGCGCGGGGTTGCCAAATCAACTACGTGACATTCGATCCGTGAATTTGTTTCTTTTCCTTAAGAAATTCCCATAAAAACCACAATAATTACTCATATTTTGGAGAAAATGTATGAGATGATTTAAAGATCTGGTGTTTTCAAATACATTGCAGTCGGATATAAATTTGTAGCTGGAATATGGAAGGTATATTACAGGTTCGAAAAAAATAACTAAATATATAAATAAATAAATAAAAAAATAAAAAATAAAAAAATAACGAAAAAACTACAATATAATTAAAAATTACCTCAAAACACTAATATATTGAAAATGATTTCTGAAAAGTGATTTAAACATCTGATATTGATTAACATACTGCACTAGAGAGTCCGGCAAATGCTTCGCAAATGCAATGCAACTCGTCGTCACACACTTCACATGCTACTGGTCACGTAATTGTTAAGCATGGTTTACGCTCCGCTCCGCAAAAATATTAATAGATGAAAGACTTTCTCGTGAGTTCTGTGTCCTGCTTTGGATACATTTGTTAAGTATATTATTAAAACAGTCTCTCTCAAGATTGGGCAAGCATTATCTATGACATTTTGTTGGAGAAATTTGATTTGTGTACGAGAAAAAGTTCAAGTAATAATTCCGACCGATATTTCACAATCGCTGATGCATAATATGAAGCGAGGACACGCTTTATACACGAGGGTTCGGCGGGTTGCGTAGAGCTTCTGTTCAGGGGCGCTTAAGTCATTAACGCATAAATCATCAACAATACACCCATGTTGCGCCTATGTGCGACAGACATACGCATATTCCCATAATACGATGTTTATATTCTTCGCGTAAGTGCAAGCAAGTTTTGTTGACAAAGTTTTATTGCAATTGGATGAACAATACAACAGCGCGTAAAATATGAACATCTAGCAAACATTGATTTTTATTAATTATATTAAAAATGAAATATCTAGCATCGTGTTTACGGAATCGAAAAAAAATTGTACCTTCAATACAGAAGGTGTAAGAAAGGTTCGAAAAACATTAAACTTTTGGTCATTACCCTTAGACTGCCATTTGTATAAAATTGATACAGATTGTTGCTGCCAGGCGAGGCCATGAGTATAATTTTGAAGCGTACGTTGTGGTCTTTGAGGTACGTGTATAGTCTCAATACACGTTTCCCTCTTTCCTAGCAGGAAGGGTCGACCTTTGTTTTCCTCCGAGTGTAACTTATTGTAACCTTGTTAGCGTTTTTAATTTTTATCACTAGATGTCAGAAATGATGCATTTCTAATATCTCCTGTTGTGAAGTTCGGCCGGCCGGCCGTTCAAAACTATTGTCTAAACCATACACACAGGATTTTCACCAAAACCGCTATTCCCCAATTGATCTGGCCGTGATCCCTTTTATCTAAAGCTAACATTTTAACTTGTGGGGTTACATGGAGGTCCTTCGACATTTTCAAATATTCCCCACAAGACTGCAATTCTTTTCTTTTTTCTCAAAGTTCGCTTACAACAAAGTGCACACCTCTGAATTTTCGGAAGCAAAAGTTAAAAAAAGAATTCCACTCTACTACTGCTACTGCGAGTAAATTAATGAAGAGACGAGTTTTCTTAATTAATTAAATCTGTTTTTTGGAATTAATTTTTTAAAGGATATTTGGTACGTGTTTTGAAAATATGGTTGTCGCGTATTTCTGTGTGTAATCGTAACTTATCAAAAGGCCCATTTAATTTCACGTTCACTTTTTCAAAATATAAAACCTATTCGCGGAATTTTGTGTTGCATAGTTTGTGTTTTCAAGTGATGGGTGAAGTGTTCGTAGGATAGAAGGAGCAATATTGTAATATTACGTCACCGTTTCCATAATACGAGAAAATGTGTTGTTGTCCCGTAATGGCCGACGTTTCGGTCGCCATTCTGCGACCTTCCTCAGGCGTAATTTACGCCCTGAGGAAGGTCGCAGGGCGTAATTTACACCCTGGGAAAGGTCGCAGAATGGCAACCGAAACGTCGGCACCTTCGCCATGGACGCGGCGTCACCCGGACAGCGAAGTAAATACTGACTCCGGCCGCGGAAGCCTGCGCTCTCGAGTTTCTAGTTCCTTAATAAGTTCCTTACAAAGGTATGTTCCTCAGACCACACACTAATAATAATTCTCTTGCAATTTTGCAAGTTCTCTACGCAATATTGTAGTCCTCTCGGCAATATATGGACAGTTCACCACAAAAGAATAATAGGATGGCCAAGAGAAACTTTAACACTTTGCGATGTGAACCACTGAATCTAACAGTTTCTGTTGTCCTTCAATTTGCTAACTGCAAACAAGTATATCAAAAATTATCATGTGTGAAAGATTAAAAACCTTTGAATTGTTTCATCTGAAAAACAATAACCTGCAGAATTTAACAATGCCAGCTCACAGTCCATTCTACAAGTGTATCTGAGAATAAATTCTACAAGTGTATCTGAGAAAAGTTCCCATTGAGGAATTAATGTTTGGATTATTTATTTCAAGCTTCCGAGAATGAGGGGGGAGTGGGCGATCAAACTCCAGCTGTACGTAACATTTATTTTGCCTCCAAGTTTCAGAATCGGCCCTGCAAGCACAATATCTCTATCGAATTCATCATCTCTTTCGAATGTCTATCATATTTGTATCAAGGATATTTCACGCCGATAATATTGTTTGAAATCTTTTGTTTGCGAAATACTTATTCATATAAATCCACGCATATAAATATTCCGTCGCGTGTACTCTCAGGCCATCCGAAGAGATTGGTGTACTGTTGTGGTAGATTATACCCTACGTGACAATCGCAGCATTTTCTTCTCCGTAAGCGAGTTCGCGCGCTGCTGCAGATTAGCAAGTGCCTGGCCGGAAGATTACGAATTCAATTCGAATGATTCAGAAAGACAACGGCCATGACCCGGGGCAGGAGTCATATCTAACCTATCTCAAGGAAGGGGATCCATAAATTTGGGGTGGGGAAAGCGACTTAGAGGCACGATCTCTCGCGGTACTCCCGTTCTTATTAGCTCTCGATTCATCATCTCCCAATCATCCCCATTAACATTGTAATCATCTCTCATATTCCCACCAAACCCATCTCAGGTATGGCCGAACAGGCCTGGTTCTGACGAGCGTAACAAAGATTCAGAACGACGTTGAAGTCCTCCGTCTGCGAGCTTAGCCCTTGCGTCATCATTGCAATCGTCAGCACAGAGTGGAGGAGGAAAAGCAAAATATTCCCCTTTTCCCCTTCGAAGAGGAACATAACTGCCTAAACTGAGAGAGAAGGATACTTATGGCCAAATTAACAGCTTAAGGAACTCATGGTGCATACTCTTTCAGAATTACAGTTCCGGCTGAATTGAGATACTAGATTTAGTTGAGGAACAACTGCATATTATTGTTTATGTTAGTTATTGTTAATGCCCACAGTATGTTATTGTTTAGTACCATCGTCACTCTTTCCAAACTATTTTCTTTGCTTAGTTTCATACACAGAATCACTACACGTCGGCACACTGGTCTGCTCTTGCGTATTTTTTCCCCTTCGATTATTTTACTTCGATTGTGGGCTCATTGGTGTGGCATGGGCAGGAAATTTCTTCGCTAAGGAGGAAAGATCGCCGACTTTGACAGCCAGACACCTCAAAGGCTACTATCTGACGTTAACTATGCCTCACGACTCGTTAACTGAAAATAATTAGGCATTAGTGCAAATTTACAGAATAAACTTTTCAACTAACGGTTATTATGTTTTCTGCTAATGTGATGAGAAGTGACCATCAATCAATATGTGAATTTAGATCTGCGCTCCGTTTCCGAAGTATTTCGACAATGTACACCTATCAACGGCTACATGCATTACATTGCAGTTGAAGCCAGCAGACCCTAAAAAAATGCGGTTCTTCTCCCTTACTGTGACCTTAAGAAAACAACACTATCAATTAACATTTAATGCAATATGTATCAACAAAATCGGAGGTTGAAATGTATATCTGGCCATTGTTACAGATCAAAACATTATGTTTGACTTAAAATATCGCGTTTGTCTCCATGGATTAAGTTTCAAGTTTTGTCTTTCCTTGGAATCTACATTGAGGTCAGTTATCGAAGGCTGTGCAACAGTCGAGGTCACACGTACAATATTGGAGGGGGTGGAGGGTGCAAACACGCGAGGAAGCGCCCAAACGAGTTCCAAACATTATAATGACATTATAAATAAAATTAAAATCAATTGTCATTTGGTAAAATACCTTAATTTATTATACCATAAAGCATTTGAGTTTCTTCTAGCTTCAAAAAAATCATTTAAATAATTAAAGACGATTTATGGCCTTAAATCGTCTAGAAGCAAGCTTTGTGGTGTTTGCCCGATCAAAAGAAAACTTTAAAAAATTGAACAGCTCACAGACTGCACGTAATGACTGCATGTTCCAAGTGACCCCAATGTCCAGCTTGGCGGAACAATTACGGTAACAATTGTGCATCCCTCACTTTCCAGCGCATGAAAATTTGTAGAATCTCTGTTCGTTGCTACTTGCCGTAATACTCACCGACTTCCAAGCTTTATCGCGAAACAGTATTTAAAAAACGGAACGTTAGTCTGCAATATGAACAAAATAAAACTTAAAAGACTTCAATGACTTCCAATGGATAAAAAAATTGTTTAAAAAACTTCAATGTATGCTTCATTGTAATTCAAAATTTCACAGCCATCAGCGGATTATTAATTTGTAATTTGAGTCAAATAATGTTCATGCAACGTAAGATGTCATATGACAGGCGTTTTAATTTTTAGTTTTCATTTCTACACATTTGAAATAATTATCGAGTATATACAATAACATAAACTTAATATTTAATATATTTTTTAATGAGCGTTAAGAAATATCGAATAAAACGCAATGCTCTTTGGAAGTCGTAGTTTCTGACCTGCTAGCGCCATTTTTCCCTGGACAGCGTGCATGCTCGAATATAAAACAGTCGACACTCACCAATCTTACACGGGCACCGTTTTTGCGATGAACTTTCGTCCCCGACGACTCCGGCCCTATCGCGTGGAGGGTTCTTCCCATAGTGACAGATTCTTCAAACAGCAGACACACTAACACACACAGTCAACACCCACAGGACCACACCGCACTCGTAGGCGCAACACACCCTGGAGACAAAGCCGCGTCTCGGCATAGCATGTGTCGGAGGAAGCGAGTAGCTGTTGAGCGGACGGAGCGCCTGCCGGCTGCTTGCTCGGCGCCCGGCGTCGTTCGGTGCACTGCCACCTCCCTCCCTCCTTCCGCCGCCGCCGCCGCCGCCGCCGCCGCCGCCGCCGGCCTTCCCGCTGCGGGGGCCTTCGCCGCCGCCGCCACCGGTGGCCCTACGTCCGGCCCGAGCGACCAGGCCCGGCGCCACTCACCGGGCCGCAGCTATCACCGACTCACAACTTCACAGCTCATCGGCGACCGCGAACCAACTTCCTCCTTCGGACTGACCACAATGCGCTGCTCCCGTTAGTGTAAATAAGCAGCTGTTGACACTGGCGTTGCAAGAGCTGGTCCCGCTGGAGGGGGGGGGGAGGGGCTGTCTGTTGATATATCCAACAACATAGTAAAAACACGAACTCCTGGATTCAAATGGTTGTGGGTTCGAGTGCCTCATTCGACACGTCACGGAGTCCATAGATGGGTGTTCCGGTTTGTGTATATACTCATTATATTAGCACGGTCCAGTTGTGGCGAAATAGAAAAACATACAAGTGATATCTTTTTATGTGAGGCAGTATTATACGGAATTCGATAAGTTTTTGATGTTTGAAGTTGTTGCCTCCAAAGTATGGCGGCGGGGCACCGCCCCTCCGGTCTTCTTCAGCTGCGCCACCGGCTATTTAATCCTCTTGACCTCCGCTGATAATGACGCGCGTTGGGCAGATCCAATCGAACGGCGAGCGCGGCGCCCTCGATTCAGAACAATCGCCCTGCTGCTCGTCGCTCTGTTGGAGGTGAATCGAAGCGGCGATTTAGCTGCGCGCTGGGCGGGACGTCACGGAGGCCGCTGTCTCCCACAGATGAGACTGGAGGTCGAGAGCCTTTTCCGTTGCGACACCAGCTGTCTTCAGACTTCAAGAAGATTATGACGCATGCTTCGGTTGGGTTATCTTATGGAAACCGAGCAAAATCACTTTTGGCGATCCTGCAGGCGATTCCTTGCTTGATAACCTTTGACCTCGGGTCAGTTTTCCAAACGATTGAAGAAATTTTCATCGAGTAGTACTTCGATAAACAACGTATTAACCCATTCGCTCCTTTCACAATCTTTATTCGTCGCATTTTAATCAATTTTACCATTCCCTGTTGAAACATTATATGGTAAAACAGTACATTGTTATGATGATATCCAATTACAATTGCACATATTCGACGCGGTACTAATCCAGTCGGTCGACATTTAAATTCATTCAGCTCATCACCTGTTGTCTGCTATGTCATCGTCTAAAAGCTCACAACCGCAATCACGATTCTAATTTCATTCAATGCCACGCTTCAGTCGGTCACTCGGGTAACGTTACGCGCACTGCCCTCAAAATGCGCCTCACTTGGTCCCGCTCCGCGCAGCTTTCACGCGAACACCAACACGGCTCTGACAAAAACAAACCGCTGCGGCCGCCCCAATCGCCTCCCCGCGGCGGCCTGCCGCGCGAGCGGCGCCTGGAGGCGGCGGGGNNNCGGCACGCGGCGAGGTTCCGCGCCGGCTCCGATAGCAGCCCGCGCTCGCCGGCGGGGGAGGGGGGCGCACGGCGACCTTCGCTCGCGGCAGCCGGGTTGGCGCCGGCACGCGGAGCCGCCTCAGATAGCGCGGCGGAACGTGTCCCATTGAGATGGCACGTTGGCAGTTAGTCCGCATTGGGATCAGTGCTTACGGCGAGAATCTATGACGTAACAGATTTATTTACCCCCGAAGAGGATCTTCACCTTATTGGACCGAAACGGAAAATATGTGATTTCAATTTTCAATAAACACACATTTTGTTTATTTAGCCAGAAATATTTTTTTCTATTACACATACGCGCGCACGTATGTGTGAATGCGTGCGAGGGAGGAAGGAAGAGAAAGACAGAAACAAATACTCTGAGTAAGTAAGGGACGATGATGAGTGAATGAATACGTAGGAAAGAGAGAGGGTTTGTGTTTTTGAGGATGGTGGATACAAGGATGAAAATGATTTCGTGGAAGAATGAAGAGTGGCAGGGCACGTAATTAGTCGAAGGTCACTCCTTTTTATCGGGAAGTCACATGATCGGATTTGATTTTGGAGGTTTTATCAAGGAAAATGACAACTCAAGTGAAAGCTCTAACAAGACAATCATTCAAGTTTCATTACTTTTGGCAAGTAATGAGTCCGGTGAGATAATGTGAAACACTGAGGTCACTCGACAATAACAGTGATATTCAACAGACGCGGGATTTAGGGGGCAAATGGGGGGGGGGAGGCAACTTGCCCAATGTTAGGACAATATAAAAAAATATATATTTACATATTTCATTTCGCGGATCTTCAAATTTTTATTTTAAAAGATTTACTTTTTCCTGTATTTTGAGAAAAAATAATTCCTATAAAGAATTTGAGTAACTGTTATAGAGATTGTTTTTTAACTACAGCTCAGCAAACTAAAAAGATCTAAAAAATGCACGTTTTGTGTTTTAAGAAGAACTTTTAAGATATTTTCAAGCCTGTACCCGAGTTCTATTTTTAAAAAATAGCGTTTGAATTTGGCGCCTAGAAAATAATTTTAAAAAAATGTTTTGATAGTATAAATTATTTTGTTATTTTGCCTATTTTTCAATCACATAAAATAGTGCTAAGTTGATGAAATGTTTTTAAAAAAAATACGCTTGTGTCCTAGAGGGGTGTGGGTGGTGGGATGAGGGCTAAGAAATCTTTCAAAAATATTATGTTTATGTTACAATAATAGGATAACTACTCATATGCCAATTGGTTTGAGGGAACTTATTATCATCTTATGCAGGGGACCTTTTGCCCGCCCCTCCCAATAAATGATCTTAAATCCCGCCTCTGATATTCAGTATGTCGAGGTGTCATATAGCACATTCAATGCTTTATTGTATATGGAAACACTACAGTGTAAATTACGTTCTTATAAAATCATGTGTCTATTATATTTCATAGAACAGAACAATACAATCATCCTTTCACCATTTCACCAAAAACGAGACTTACAAAAACAGAGAGACGCGAAAACCTCATAGAGAAGGGGAAGGAGAACTGCAGTGATGCATATTGGTACTGTTCGTTGGAATTTACAATGAAATAATTATGTGAGTCGTCATTGCCAACAATATTTGCAGTGGTGCAACTAAATGTAATCGAAGAGTGGAAAAACAGTTGAACCGAATCTGAAAGATATCTTTGAAATGTTTGATATTCATAAACTTTGAAATTATATAGCGAACTGGAACGATGTTCGGGCAAAGGACAACTGCGGAAAGGTCTTGTTAACATAAACTAGATCATAATTAAATGGACTGTTACTAATCACATTACACATGCATTGAATCCGACTTCAACTCGTCCCGAAAATTTTAACATAATTGTACAGCACGTATCTCGTATCTACAAACTCCAGCCACGAGATTAAAGAGTTAAGTGTAAGAGAGGGTGTAATTCATATTCCATGTGTGTGTGTGAGAGAGAGAGAGAGAGAGAGAGAGAGGGAGTAATACAAAGAGAGTAGTGTATGCTTAGAATGTGCAAAGCTCGTAAAAGGGCAAATAACGTAAAGGCCGCGTGACCTCCCCACGTGCCTCTGAGGACGCGCAGGTCGCTCTCTCTGGCTCTCGCGAGCGGGGCGGGGCGGGGCGCAGACGTCAGGAGCCGTCGGCCTTCCTCGCGGCGGGTGCGGTTTCGCGGTCGCGAGTCTCCCGCCCGCCCCGCCCGCCTCTTGCGATGGCGCGAAAACGCACGCGCGGGCAGCACTCCAACGGCATCTTCTTATGCATTGAACGTTCATTTCACAGGTTGTATAGCAACTTCCACCGGCTTAGGTGGCTCAGGGCAGCAATTGATGTCACTGCAGAGCCTCTGCCAGGGAGGTCCTGCGGTTCGAGTCTCGACAGCGCCAGAATGTCCAACACTAGCGACGTAGCGAGATCGAATTCAGGGGCTGTCTGGAGGAGAAATCCAGCGGCCGGCTGCGCAGATCGGTACATTTCCCTAGTTTCTCCGACCAACCACAGGCGAACGCCGGGACAATAGTCGAAGAAACGGCCCACCGTCCACGCGCGATCTTCCCTTCCTCTTCCTTGCTTTTACGTGATCCCTTTACCTATCCTTTTACGTGATCCTTTTGAAGAAATTCATTAGGTTACATTTTATTAAATGAAAATATTTTATGAGATGAAAGAATTCAAGAAAAATATATAAAGCAGAACTGTTTTTTAAAAATTATTTTGACTTAGCACAGATTGTCGATTTATTTTAGAGCTACTGAGTCTTTTGCAGTACTTTGTGTATGGAAGATTGTACAGATTCTAGGAATTCAAATCTCACTTCTAGTTCATATTCGGTTGTCAGACTGACACATAGTTATGTTTTCTTCATGAATAATCAGAACAATTCTGTGCAGCTGGAAAGCAAAACGTCCGTCACTACAATTCCCACTGTTACTATGTTGAAGTTCCTTTGTATATAACGGCACTTGTAATCGAAATGTTGTGTAACCTTGAAGATAACGCTCTGAATATCTCCTCTTAGGAGAACACCATATGTGGAATTCATTCCTCGGCTGGGAGACTCATCGCCCATGCAATAATTTGTTTTTCGATCGGCCGCCATGCCCTGGCGCGTCATGAAGAGAGGAGGACAAAGGGCAGCCGGGAGATCAGCTGGCCGTGACGTCACGGATCGCAGCCGGCGGATTCCACTGTCCGCCCCAAACTGACTGCTCTCGCCCGCCCGCCCACGGCCACCGCCCACTGGCCCTTCCCTTCCACTGGCGAAGTAGCGGGCGACGCAGGGGCGAATTCGGGGGAACCGATGGAACCGGGGATCTCGTGGAACTCAGCGGAGATAAAATAGTACGGCGCGTGTTTTCTTTTCTACTTCTAATGGAGCGTAAAATAAAGAGAAGATCTTACAACAAAATTGATTTATTGCCAGGCACCAAGCAGAAGCAGACTCATACTTGTATTGCGGTGTGACAATGAGAGCTACTGGCATTATACATTTTTTACCTACTTTTCTTTTTTCAAAACTCCAATACGTCGCCTAAAATGTCTACTCGAAACACAATGTAAACGTTTTGCTTACATTTCATGGGTTTCAGATGTAGTACATTTTGGGGGATTGCATCTTCAATAAAAACATAAAACTCGAAACACTTGTTGGTTCTACGAAAACACATTTGAATACTAGTACGTGTAATGCCAACTTATTGTTCTGCATCCCTATGAAATGATAACTTCTTCTCCAGGTCGTTAAACGTTTTACTGAACCAACCAGGAGAATAATTTCTATAGGCTTTCTGTAGGCTTTGTACACGTATGTCGTTGACATTGTCGATTACATTAGTTATTATCCGCAGAATTCCAAACTGAACCAATGTTACCGTGTAAAATTCACTTACTGTAATAGATTCGTGATAAGATGTAATACATAAAAGATGTATAAACTATTATAAAAAGTAACTTCTCACCATTACTGACCACACGATCCACTTACAATTCCTTTTCTCCACATCTTCTACGTTTAATAGGAGTTTAGCAGACGAATCTTCCTAACATCAGGTGAAACGTATATGAAATAGTAGCAAATATAAAGAGTAAAGAGACGCAAAACAGGTGCGTTTTATATATGTTTCCATAATACCTTAATTACTTAGCTTATCGATTCCGGCCTGAGCAACTTTGAAAAAAAATATTTACCCGCCAGATATAAAAATTCTATTTGAAAATCTTTGCCGGAGTCTCCCTGGGTTACGGTAGTGAAAAATCTCACAACTTTCACAGTCATAACGCCCATAAAAACATTTTATCGTACTTAATTACCTCTTGGTATTAAAACCACTTGTATGGTTGTACTTGTCTTCATTTCTTGATTCATCGAAGGTTGAGGGGAGGAGATCCCTAAGTACACAGTTTCGAAAGGTCCTTGTTTCCAATCGCGAATATTTATCTGCGTATGAATATGTGTCTAGGTCGACTCTAGGGATCACATCCCGAGCATTTAGATGGCGATGACACAAAATAATTTTCCTTGGTTGAATCGCTTCGCTGATCTGATGACAAGGCCTTGATTCGTTTCCAAAATCCGCCCATGTGATGATGCAGAACCATATAGATCTTTACATTGCATGCATATTTAATGTTCTTTGGGCCTCTAGAATTACTCAGAAATATTTTAAGGTATCCACGAAACATCGGGAACATCAGATTTTAAATATATTTTCAAATGAAACCGTGAGAGATACATTTATGGTTTTCTAGATATTAGGAAATGGCGAGAAACTTTAGATATATGTTAATTTACTTACTTCTAATTGTATCTAATTATTTATAAGTATCATATTTCAAATTTTAATTATAGCATGTCTTGTTAATTATTACCTTGGAGATGGCCGCGATGGGCTTCCGGAAATAAATGTCTTATCATG